CTCATGCAGCCGGCTAACTGCATTTCGATTTGAGTATTGGGCCACAGCTCCTTCTGGATACAAAAGGGCCGTGATGATCTCTTCCTGAAATTTTAGGAAGGATCCACTTCGTCCCGTTGCTTTCTAAATTACAAAAGCGTTATATATAGCCAATTGAAATAAATAAATAGACACCATTTTGTACCAGTGTCGAGCTTTCCGGAAAACTAGGTACGGATTCATCATTTGGTCGTTGAAGTCCACCCCTCTCATGTTAAGGTTATAGTCTTGGACACAGAGGGGTTTCTCAACAAGGCCAGATACTGTGCTAATTTGGACTGTCGCATCTGCGTGAATGGAAGACAGGACGGAAACATCCCGTTTGTCCTTCAACTTCACTGCGAGCAATTCATCATTCCTCAAGCAGGCTTTCTCCCCATTTCTAAGTTGGGTATTTACAACCTGTTGGGGGAAAGCCCTGGCAGTTAGGTCGCACGGTGCCACATGAGCCAATTCCAAGATTGTACAAATGTCTAAATAGTGGCACGTTTGTATACAAATTGTCCACGTATAAGTGGTACCCCTTACGGAACAAACACGACACCAAGTCCCAAACTATCTTGCCACTGCTCCCCATGTAGTCTGGGCAGTCGGGGGGCTCTACTTTGCTGTCTCTTCCCTCATAAACCCTAAATATGTACATATAGCCTGTGGCCCTCTCACAGAGCTTATACAATTTGACCCCATATCTGGCATACTTGCAGCGGATGTACTGTTTAAATGCAAGGTGGCCAGTAAAGTGAATGAAGGACTCATCCACACAGATGTTTTGCTGGGGCGTATACACATCTGCAAATTTCTCAGTGAGGTAGTTTGAGGGGCCGAATTTTGTAGAGCATGTCATGTTCAGGGTCACCCCAAGGTCGACAGAGTGTGTTATCACTGAAATGCATGAAGCGTCTCATATCTATGCCTGGCCATGGCAGCAGAGAACATGGGCATATGACAAATCGGGTCTGTGGACCAATATGGCCGCAACTCATTCTTTTTTGTAATGCCCATGTTGAGGGTTAGGCCCAAAAAACTTTTAAATTTGGAAACCGTAATGGGTTTCCATGTGAATGGTCTGGCAAGGTTTAAATCTGGGTTTGCGGCGATATATTGAGCATATAAATTGCTTTGGCCCACAATCAAATTGTACAAATCTGTGAAAAACAGCTCCATAAAATCAAGGGGAGTAGTTAAATTTGCTATTTCCACCTGAATTCCGGGTTGGGCAGTAAATGGGGGAAATACGGGTGCTGCAGAATCTGTGGGCTGCCAATCAGGATTTGCAAGCACGTCCGGAAGGATACTATAGGCTCTACGGGCTTGTGTGCGAATTCTTGGTGGTTGCGGGACAATACTTGTGCTCGCCACCGCACAAGCTTGTACTGCACTTATGGGACTCGCCACATCACCAAGTGATACTACAGTGCTGGTATAAAAAAGACCAAAAGGTAGAGCGGCACTAGTACTGGCACTCTGCCGCATATGAGACAACTCATGTGATCGTAGCACTTCAGCTTCATGGGGTCGGGTACGCCTGATCTTAACAGGGCCCTCTTCTTCATCGTCTGAGCTACTTGTCAGGGTAACACTGCTGTCTACAGGTTCGTATTCTGAGGCTGATTTGTGTCAGGGAGTCTTCCCCTTCGCTCTCCCCTGGCATGCTCAGAATCCTGCAGGCCTGTTCACTATTGTACCTTTCATTGGACGTTTTGGACTCTAAATTTACAGGTGCCTAGTGCGACTCATGGGGAAAATAGCACCTGGCTGTCAGGGACTGCTTGAACCGCTACAAAAAAAATTACCGGTAAGTGCTAACAGAGATCAGGCCTGATTCTGTGAACATTTGTGTGCAATGTGCTATATGGTTTTGTGTGCAATGTATTACAGGTGACAGTGATCAGAAATTATACTGACACTGCACTTCTTGTTTGGGGTGGGGGGGGCGTTGGGGCTAAACACTAGTGCTGGCAGCGAACGGGGATGATCCTGCTAACACTGCGTTTTTGGGAACACTAATACTAAGGGGGCACTGTTATAGTTTTGTTCGTGATCAATATATTGATCCGTACAAACACTATACTAGTAATGACGGTATTCAGCGACCTATAGCATGAGTGTGATAGTGTGCTGGCAATCTAACTCTAGCTGACCCTGGCTGGGTGGGGTGCTTACTGACCCTGATGCTATCGGACGTCGCTAGTGGCAGTAATACAGTGATCAGTGAAAAATACTGTACACTGACACTGTACTAATGGCACTGGCAGGGGGCAATCAAAGGGTTAAATGTGGCAATCAAGGGGGTTAAAATGTCTCTATCTAACGTGTGTGGGCGCAAATGTGCTGCTCTTATGTCTTCTCTCTCTGGAACAAAATGGTTCCAGGGAGAAAAGAACCAGCTAGATCCTGTGCCTGTATTTACAAATGAAGGGCACTCACTTGGATTTTAGAGCTATTTCTTTAATACTTTTATTTCTCCTCATCCTTTCTTTCCTTCGCTTTTAATGAATGACATTGATTGTTTGAAATATGTTAGTTTTTTAGTTTTTCATGAAAAATAAAAAGGTAAATTAACTCCAAAAATCCTGACCATCCCTCAGAACCCCACTGAATATAGTAAGTGTGATGCCCAGTGCTGCTGATGTAGCGGTTCGTACACCATACACCACAATACACAGCCCCAGAGTGATTATCCATCATAATGCTCGTAAGTTCTGATTGGTCAAGGTGACCATGCTGACCAATGAAAAGTGCTTCTTTCTTCTGGAACACCTTGCAGAAGAAGGAGTCTCAGATATGTCACATGGTCACGGTCACATGGTTGTACTGACTAATGAGCGCTTGCCATTGCCAGCATTATGATGGATACTTACTCCTGGGCTGTGTATTGCAGTATTTGTTGCTTGGACTGATGGATAGGCAGCACAGGGCATCATGGAAGACAGGTGTAGCGGGGTCCGGAGGGGTAGCCAGGATATTTTGGAGTTAGTTTACTTTTTTTTGTGAACTCTGGCTCTGTTTCTAGATTTTTGTAATACTCCTGTAAAGGAGTGAAGGTGAGATGTCACAAGGGAGCACATGGCTAACTGATTAGGTAACAGAACTGGAAATCCCAATTTTAGTTCTGGGATATGGGTTGCAAGAATTGTGAATTGGAGGTTGTCAGGGTGTATTATGTTAGACTTACATTTAAAAAAGTACATTGTACTACTGGTGTACATGGTAACTTTTTCTAGTTGCACTGACATTTTGGATTTGATTCACTTGCCTTTAATCTTTTAGTTGTGCCCATGAATTGCAAACAAAATCACTACAGGTGAAACTCAAAAAATTAGAATATCGTGCAAAAGTTCATTTATTTCATTAATGCAACTTAAAATGTGAAACTAATATATGAGATAGGCTCATTACATGCAAGGCAAGATAGTTCAAGCTGTGATTTGTCATAATTGTGATGATTATGGCTTACAGCTCATGAAAACCCCAAGTCCACAATCTCAGAAAATTTGAATATTGTGAAAAGGTGCAATATTCTAGGCTCAAAGTGTCCCACTCTAATCAGCTAATTAAGCCATAACACCTGAAAAGGGTTCCTGAGCCTTTAAATGGTCTCTCAGTCTGGTTCATTAGGAATCACAATCATGTGAAAGACTGCTGACCTGACAGTTGTGCAGAAAACCATCATTGACACCCTCCATAAGGAGGGAAAGCCTCAAAAGGTAATTGCAAAAGAAATTGGATGTTCCCAAAGCTGTATCAAAGCACATTAATAGAAAGTTATGTGGAAGGAAAAAGTGTGGAAGAAAAAGGTGCACAAGCAGCAGGGATGACCGCAGTCTGGAGAGGATTGTCAGGAAAAGGCCATTCAAAAGTGTTGGGGACTTTCACAAGGAGTGGACTGAGGCTGGAGTCAGTGCATCAAGAGCCACCACACACAGACGGATCCTGGACATGGGCTTCAAATGTCGTATTCCTCTTGTCAAGATGCTCCTGAACAACAAATGTCAGAAGCGTCTTACCTGGGCTAAAGAAAAACAGACCTGGTCTGTTGCTCAGTGGTCCAAAGTCCTATTTTCTGATGAGAGCAACTTTTGCTTCTCATTTGGAAACCAAGGACCCTGAGTATGGAGGAAGAATGGAGAGGCACACACTGCAAGATGCTTGAAGTCCAGTGTGAAGTTTCCACAATCTGTGTTTGGGGAGCCATGTCATCTGCTGGTGTTGGTCCATGGTGCTTCATTAAGTCCAGGGTCAACGCAGCCGTCTACCAGGAGATTTTGGAGCACCTCATGCATCCTTCTACAGACGAGCTTTATGGGGATGCTGACTTCATTTTCCAGCAGGACTTGGCACCTGCCCACACTGCCAAAAGCACCAAAACCTGGTTCAATGACCGTGCTTGATTGGCCAGCAAACTTGCCTGACCTGAACCCCATAAAGAATCTATGGGGCATTGCCAAGAGAAAGATGAGAGACATGAGACCGAACAATGCAGAAGAGCTGAAGGCCGCTATTGAAGCATCCTGGTCTTCCATAACACCTCAGCAGTGCCACAGGCTGATAGCTTCCACGCTGCATTAAGGCAGTAATTGCTGCAAAAGGGGCCCAAACCAAGTACTGAGTACATATGCATGCTTATACTTTTCAGAGGTCCGATGTTGTTCTATGTACAATCCTTGTTTTATTGATTGCATGTAATATTCTAATTTTCTGAGATTGTGGATTTGGGGTTTTTATGAGCTGTAAGCCATAATCATCACAATTATGACAAATCATGACTTGAACTATCTTGCTTTGCATGTAATGAGTCTATCTCATATATTAGTTTCATCTTTTAAGTTGCATTACTGAAATAAATGAACTTTTGCACAATATTCTAATTTTTTGAGTTTCACCTGTATATCTGTGGTACAATCAGCTGATGCCTAAAGTACTTTGCTATATATACTTACACTTTTTTTTTTGCTTTATAGATGGCCCAGAGGTTACTTTTAAAACGTTTTCTTTCTTTGCCTGGAAGATGTCTAACTAGTCAAGTACAATCCTTCTCCAGCTTATCTACAAAATGCACGCAAACTTATGTTCCACATTTTACAACTTCGCCCATTTCTCGGTTTACTGAGTTTACCACTGTTCGGCAGATTTCTACTTCGTCCTCACGCAGAGTAACGTTCTCTGTTCAAAATAAAGATGACTTTCAGGAGCGGGTTATTAAATGTGAGGTTCCAGTGATTGTGGATTTTCATGCTCAGTAAGTTACATATTATTTAAAGTTTAATGTGCATAAAGTAATATTTAAATTTGTATTAACATTTGTATATGTAAGAAATGAATATGTAGTGCCTGGTAGAGTTTTACCTACAACAGTGTTTCTCAACCTTTTTACCTTGGAGGAACCCTTGGCAAAACGTTTAGGATCTCGGGGAATCCCTGAAAAAAGTTTAGATTTACAGCCCACAGAAAATTGGATCTGATCAGCGAGCTGTAGAAAAAGTAATAATTAAACAAATACAGAGCAGCGCAGGGAAGCTGCTGTTGTAACATGTCTTTTCCACTTGATCCCTGCTAGCCCTCCTCTCATCCATCCAAGGTGATATAACATGCAAGAGCCTGGGACAGACGGAAGGGGAGGACATGTGGGAAATGGAGTAATTAACAGTATGCTTCCCTGCACTGCTCTGAAAATCCATAACACAATGTTTATCAAACCGGGTTCCACCGCAAATCAATATTGTGGTGGAGATATATCTGCCCAATGTTGTTTTCAGTATGCACTGATAACTGATGCCTCCTTTGTACTTGTGACTTCTGAGAACTCAGAGGACAGCATTGAGAGAAGTGAAGAGAGCGGGAACACGTGGCTGGATCAGGAGGTGAAACCCTGTGTATGGCAGCAGTGAATGAAGACTGTGGAAGGGGGAATAAGAGAGCAGGAGCATATGCATGAATGTAGCAGGAGGTGACATTCAGTGTATGGAAGTACTGAATGCAGACTAGAGAAGGAGGAGCAATAGGCAGGGGTACATGGCTGGATCAGACTGCATGTAGCAGGAGGTGAGGTCATAATAGCTTTATGCACAGTTATCGCATCACATAACATAAAGCTATCATGCACTCGCCTCCTGCTACATTCAGTCTGATCCAGCTGTGTGCTCTGCATCACTGATGCTATACACTGGATGTCACCTCCTGCTTTAGCCATGTGCTTCCTCTCTCTGTTCGACCCCTGGTCTGTATTCACTGCTGCTTACACACACAGTTCTCTGGCTCTCTGCCCAAATTCCACCCCCTCTCACCTACAGTTTGCATCACACTTCTGCCATACACAAACTCATCATGGTATCTCATCTCCTGATCTAGCCATGGGCTCTCCCTCTGTGCTCCCTCCCATAGTCTGTGATCAGCACTGCCATTGGAAGTCTCCTCTTGCTCTCTGCACTACTGGTGCAAGTTCACAGGAGCCTGAACTACAGAGGAGGCATCAGGTATCAATGCACACTGACAGTCCGATACCTGCGCATTGAGAACAACACTGGAAACAACATTGGGTGGTATACATCTGCCACAATGTGATTTTCCGTGGAACCCCTGAGGACTTTTCCTTTAACCCCAGTTGAGAAACACTGACCTACAATAACGCTAAACTTCAAGAAAATATTTGAAATGCATATGTCGGAGTTGTTTTAAATGCCAAAAAATTGTGTCTAACCATTCAGCTCTGACATTTACTAAGGCCTGCCAGACAGCAGAGCTCAGTTGGTATCCTGGCTTTTGCCGCTGCTTGGTCACCCTCTTGCCTAGCTTGAGATTGGAGAGTAAAGCAGTCAAATCTAACTGAGCTTCACACTCAACTCCGTCAACTGTCTCCTAATTTCATTATGTTCATTGACAGCAAATATTCATAATGCACACCTGCTTGTGCTACTCCTCTCTCTGTTGGTTTGATTTCCGGTATAAAATGGATTACAGGATGGATTTAGTTGAACAATATGTTATAATAAATGTTATTGTTGGCCGTTACAATAATGAACTGCCTAAAAAGTGAGCCTTAGAATTGGTTAAATTGTATGGTGAAGGCTACTGATCCATCAACCCAATACATAAGTATGCACTCTGAGCATCCTGGGTATTTACTTTACGAAATAACTTTTATGTACAGCCATAAAAAGGTTCTGAATAGGTGCTGACTAGGGATGAGCTATGGAATGTTCAGATTCTACTACAAACCCACGTGAGTGAGCCTGCCAGGAGGATGTCGCTGTACTGGGCCAATTATAAGCAGCCAAAGCATTCCCCATCCTGCGCTAGAGTCCCAAAAACACTTAGGGGCTCAAGTAGAGGTACTCCTAATGGTGTTCAAACATAATGCTCTATCTGATGCAGCTCTGCTCAGATCGTGAAATCTTAAAACAACAGCAAAAACACACATAGGAGGGCACAAACACCTAGCGCATTACCATCATACAACTTTATTACATGCCAAAAAATAATTGCATACTCACAAACATAAGTAACAACTGACCTATCACATAACTTCAGCCATAGGCGATGTCATCCGGTCGTGTGTCACATGGTTGGAAAGCTGACACGTTTCGGGGGATATGCCCCCATCCTCAGAGCTAAACCAATCACATGCAAGCATGTAAAATAGTTTAGGGATTTCAAGGGTGCCACACATCCTCAGGACAGTATTGAGATCATAACAAACTTTTATAAACATATCTATATAATTAAAATAACATTTATAAATCTAAAATCTTCCTTCACTGAGGATGGATGTGTGTAATGTAATTTAAAAATTATTACAGCAGTCCACGGATTTTCAGCAGTACCAATATGTTTCACCCATCCAGGCTTCATGGGAGATGACTGCTGATTTATTCCAAAGCTACATACAAAAAAATGCAAAAATTATAGACATATTCAATTAAAAACCACATAAATTACAATCCATATAGTTTTTAATTTGTATCTGCTCATAGTCTGTCAAGCTTACCCAAAATGTCTCACTGTCAGATTATGAAGATGTTTGTACAATTGATGGCAGAGGTTTGGGGTCCACCAAGTGATCACAGAGGGTACACAAGGACCAAGCTAAAGAAAGGTCAAACGGTTACTCCTCCAAAATGTTTAACAAGGGGCCAATTACCTCCCACAAAATTAAAGAATTTACAGAATTTTTTGTATCAAATCCACAAGAGGGCACCCAAGAACATACACCTGCGGTGATGCTGGCTTCAATATAATTAGCCTCTGCATAAAACAGTGATTTGTATTGTAAAGGTTTTATAATAATAAACCAGTTAGATCTTAAATAATTTATTTATATGCTTATATAAAAGAACCTTGTGCATATATAAACGGCCAACTTGAAAAAATGGTACATCATTAAAAGTACCTTTTTGTAAATCCACTCAATTTATGGCTATATAAAAATGAATGTGAATAATAATGTACTCCTTTTAAATAAGCACAAGATACATTACTCCCACCTTCATCCAATCAAAGTATAATCTGGTTTAAACATTATTCCCAGTAATATCTATCAACATAACTGTTAAGTTCTCACCGCAAGCATTAGAAACATCCAGTACATCGAGCAACACTGATGACTCTGGCAAGATGGCCACCAGAGACTCTGGGATTCTATACCCCCTGCCCTTCCGGCGTCTGATGTCACCGGAAATACACAGACGTGGTCACCGCACCGCGCATGCGCCAGAACAGGCCGAAGTACCAGGATCCACAAGGTCTTAACTCAAGAATGATTCTCGCATTTTGGTCAGTGAGGACAGCGCTTCCTATTGATGGACAAATACCAGAGCAATAGATCGCAAGGTCTTAGGCGGAACTACTAGCACATTTGATGGGGAGATGACAAGGAATGTAAACCACAGTAGAGCACAACTATACGTTGCGAACACTAACCCAACAAATAGGCAAGAAGGAGCATACCAAGGCCCACCCCCCACACACAGGCGGGATGGACATAGGACTTGGCCTGGGAGCTCTTGATTGGTCCTCAGGCAAACGTCTATCACATCTATCACATCCGTGCGATCACAAAAAAACACCCAGTCACACTGCCATATAAAGGAATAAGAAGTATACTTTTTCTTCTTAATAAATAGACAATCAAGTGAACTAGAATTCACATTTAAGGGGAACCCAATAAGTCTAAATACCAAGGAACAATAAGCAGAGACAGACCAGGGACTGTAGATTTCCAATAATATGCAATCATAAAAAAGTCTACTATACTGCTATCGCCATTTCAATTCTGCATATTCTTTACAAGTACACATTGCAAAACTGAATATATTCCGTGTATACATTATACTCATAGTACCAATTATACAAAGCTATTCTTTATATTCATTATCTTTACCCAAACCTAACATGGCCAATTAGGATTGAATTGATAGAGGGAATTGATATCATATAGGAAAGGCCAGGATGTTGAGTGGCCTTGAGATGATAATCCAGCGTGTCTCAAGTTGCAGCAGATGCTGATCCACACTCCCTCCACGCACGTGGAGGAATGTGTTCTAGTATGGTAAATTTTGATCATGCCCAAATCAAAATTATGATAGCGGCCTACATGGCGACTAATGGGAGTTTTATTTGTTTTTTGATTAACGATACATGATCTGTAATGCGTTTAAAAAAAACAGACGTATAGTTTTGTCTATATAGAATATCTGTGACTAAGATGGTGCCTAAGCCCTGCCCTTTTCACCAACTTGTGACAAAGGACAAGCCAATCTCACACCGCGCTGTCATTTGCATGACAATGCCACTCTCAGTTGCACCCTGCACAAGATTTTCCACCTCACTGGACCACAATCTATGTGCCAGCAGCCTGAAAGCAATTGTCACTGGGTTAATTAATTAGCAATTAACCCTTTAAACTGCCACCACCCCCCCCTTTTTACCGAGGAGGAAAATCACAAATCTTAGCAATAACACCATAAACGTTTGCAACACACGCTGTCACCACAGACTGGTATATTCAGAGGATTATTACATACAGTAGCATTCTTCAAGAGACATGGATTCTTTAATTTGCATTCAAAGCCTTAGAGATAGTTTTTAACACTTTTCAAAATAGGGTTTAATAATGAAAAGGTAAAATGGTGCTGTCATGCTTCACATGACTGTCATATTGACTATCATATGCCTTTAAGTGTTTCTATATTTTGTTTCTGCTCCACCCTTTCCTTTGGTTTAGTTAATACTGTATAGATAGCC